CTCAGTTGAAAATGCAGAAATCACCGGTCTTCTGTGTCGCTCGCGCTGGGAGTTGGAGACTGGAGCTGTTCCTATTTGGCCATCTTGCTCCACCCCTCTTCATCTTAATTTTTAAATGTGTTAAATGTTTGGATTAAAGGTGTACTATAAACCTAATAAATACATTTTTTAAATGTCAACACACTAGCAAACTGGAATATTTGTAAGGTAAGTCAATAACGGAATTCTTATCCTGCAGACTATTTTGCATTTCCCAATATTAGACTTTAAGACATTTAACTTTTTTTTTTTTTTTTTTTTTTTTTAGAGGCAGGGCCTTGCTCTGACACCAAGGCTACAGTGCAGTGGCACAATGATAGCTTACTGCAGCCTTGAACCCCTGGGCTCAAGTGATCCTCCCACCTCAGCCTCCCAAGTAGCTAGGACTAAAGGTGCACACCACCATGCCTGACTTATTATTATTTTTATGAAGATGAGGTCTCGCTATGTTGCCTGGGCTGATCTCAAACTCTTGGCCTCAAGTACCCAACCATGGTCTCATTTAACCAATTATTTGTAACATAATATTTGTTCTCTAATCCTTTTGATATAAATTGTTCTTCCTTTAAAAAAAAAAAAAAGGACGAAATGTGCAAAATAATTTTTGAGACTTCCTATTTTATTTAACTGTCATTATATATAAACATTAATTTATTTTGTATGTCTACCTTTTAAAGATGTAGAAAACTAGGCTGGTATGGTGGCTCACATCTATAATCCCAGCACTTTCGGAGGCCAAGGCAAGACTGCTTGAGGCCAAGAATTCGAGGCTAGTTTGAGCAACATAGGGAGAACTCGTCTCCACAAAAAAATATTAAAAACTTAGCTGGGACTGGTGGTATACACCTATAGTCCCAGGTACTCAGGAGGCTGAGATGGGAGGATTGCTTGAACTTGGGAGATCGAGGCTGCAGTGAGTCATGATCGCATCACTGCACTCCAGCCTGGATAACAGAGAAAGACTATGACTCAAGAATAAAAAGAAAAAAAGATATGAAAAATTTCTAAGGAACTGACTACTAACTCTCTTACACAAAATATTTAAAAGAAACTCACAAAAACTCCAAATAGAAGGACAATAATATTTATAAAAGTATAAAAATCTTTCAGAAGAAAATGATAATTATAAGTGGGGTTCCTTTAAAATCACATTCTAGTTTTGTAATTCACATATTTCTTTTCTTGATAGGAAGCATGGGTTTACTTCATTTTTGTGTGGGAGGACTCTAGAAAAAGCTTTATTTAGAGCAGATCAGCTGAATAGCCCTATATCTACAGAAGAAACTAAATTTATACTTTAAAATGTCCCAACAAACAAAACTTTAAGCATCTTCAGTGAAGATGGCTTCACTGAATTCTACCAAACATTTAAGGAAGAAATAGTACCAATCCTATAAAAAATTTTCCAAAATATAGAAGAGAGGGTAATATTTTCCAACTCATTTTATGATAATAGCCTTATACATGGGTTTACTTCTTAAAGGTAATGGTTCTCAGTTGAGGGTGATTTTGGCTCCCAGGGAACATTTGGCATTATCTGGAGACATTTTTGACTGTTACAACTAGGGAGCAGTGCCACTGGAAACCAGTGGGTAAACACCAGGGATGCTGCCAAATATCCTACAACACATGGCGCAGTCCCCCACAACAAAGAATTATCTGGCTCAAATGTCGATAGTGCTGAGGTTGACAAACTCTAGCTTAAAGAAAATAAATTTCTCATCATTTTGAAAAATCAAGTATCCAAAGGTATATCACACTACAAATCTAATAATTCAGTTGCAAACAAAAAACTAAAAATAAAGGCAGTCTACCTTATCACAATGTAGATGTAGCATTTCAGGTTTGGGGAAATCCTGCTCTATGTTTTCAGCAATGTTCTGTATTGCTAGCAACTGCTTGTCAATTTTCTGAAGCTTAGCAGTAAGATGCTCTAGTCGGTGAGCTGCAAAGCTTGGTGCAGGGCAAGCTGCAGAGACACCTTGCAGCCGTTTCCACAACAGATAATCTTCCGCAGAGTCTGACTTCGTGCTCTGTCCTTTGAATCGGAACTCTGGTTTTGGCAGATCTAAATATTAATGAGAGTAAAAGCAGAATTGATTATAATTAAAGAAGAGGTATTACTGATGATCTCATTTTTTGATGACTTCATTTTAAACCAACACAACACTACTTTCCAAATCAGTTTTAATTAAATACACCTAAAAATTCCTTTTCAGCTTCTTGACTTCTGGGATAAGAATACATAAATTACTACAACAAAGTTCCACACACAAGGAAAGTCTGAATATTACTTTCATTCCTTGCTACAAACATATACTTCATCAAAAAGCAAATTTAATATTTTTAATGACTTTTTCAAATTCTACTTGAAAACCAAAAACATCACACATTAAAAGTTGGCCCCAATATTGGCTATTACTGACTTTATATGGGATCTCAGGCAAATGTTAAACCTCCTAAAACCAAAATCAAAGCCAATGACTCTTCTTCTTCTTAAATTCAGTTGATTCTTCTCCCAAATTTGCAACACCTCCTTTTTTTTTTTTTTTTAAGAGCCTCGCTCTGTCACCCAGGCTGGTCTCGAACTCCTGGGCTCAAGCAATCCTCCCACCTCAGTCTCAGGAAGTGCTGGATTACAGGCGTGAGCCCCTGCACCTGGTCTGCACCACCTTTTTAAAATGCACTCTTCTTCTGATGTCTGGGTCTCCTCCTGCCTGTATTGCTCATACTTCTTCTGCTGCCATCCATTCCTTTTACCCGTCAGTACTTCCTGGGCTGCCAGCCTGAACTCACTTCTCTACTCACTCTTCCCACTTTCTCTGAGTTATATCATTGATGAAAGATGACTCCCAAATCCATATGGCAGTCTTTTTTAGTTCCAGCTCCTCATATCCTGAACATACCAGTTAGGTTGTCCCATAAGCACATAAAAATGAATTCATTGCTTCTGCCCCTCCAAATTGCTCCCTCTTCCTTGTTCCGCAGCTCAGCAAACAGCACCACCATTCAGTTTCCCAAACCAGAGACCAGAAAGTCACTCGAGGCTCCTTTCTTTCCCTTAGATCCAAAGTGACAAGTACTGATGATTCAACCTGCTAAATGCCTACATTCTTAATACCACTACTTGGCTGAAGCTTTCACAATAAATAGACCCCAAATCATACCGCTATCTGTAATTTATCTCTATCCTATCTAGTCCATCTTCCACACCAGGTCCAGAGAGATCTTTTAAAAACAGAAATCACGTTCCTTTTCTGTCCAAAACTCTTCAATGTGTCTCCAATGCCTTCACCTTAAAAGTCCAAATGCCTCCATATGACAGACAATGGCACACATAATCTTTCCACGGTCTACCTCTCCAGCTGAAATTCATCTCTTGCTATTTCTTTAAACAAACAAACAAAATACTACTCAGTTTGACTCCAGGCATAATGAACTTTAATTTTCTTTTCTTTTCTTTGAGACATGGTCTCGCTCTAGCACCCAGGCTGGAGTACAGTGATGAGATCTTGGTTTATTGGAACCTCTGCCTCCTGGACTCAAGCGATCCTCCTGCCTCAGCCTCTCGAGTAACTGGGACTACAGGTGTGTGCCACAACACCTGGCTAATTTTTCTATTTCTTGTAGAGACAGGGTCTCGCTATGTTGCCAAGGCCGGTCTCAAACTCCTGAGCTCAAGCAATCCACCCACCTTAGCCTCCCAAAGTGCTGGCATTACAGGCATGAGCCACCACACCCAGCCCAACTTAAATTTTCTCAAACTAAAAAAGTTCCATTAACTAACTGCAAAATCTATTCTGTCTGTCTGAAGGCCCATTCTCTCACTAAAACCTACTTTCCTTTAAGATTCCATTTAGGTGTCTCTCCTCCAAATAGCCCCAATCATCCCCCGAGATGGATTCCATGCTGTCTTACCCAAGAATCTCATTCATCCCGTCACCGCAGAACTTACCAAGCAGTATCATAATCATCCCTTTATATGTCTGTCTTTCCTTCCCCCTGTAGGCATGCCCGCAGACTGAGAGCCTGGTGTTTCTCTCTTCTTTAGCCCTGGTATATGGTCTTTAACTTCATGTTTATTGAATGAAGAGTCAGTCAAATGAAGATTATGATGCCTGCCCTACCTAACTTATGCGTTTTGTGAAGATCAAATTATGTGGCAAAGTACTTTGAAAAAATGTGAACTACTAAAAAAATATAAATAGTGCTTATTATATTTCAGTCCCAGTCTAAGTTGAACCTTCCCATGATAAGACAATAGTAAATGGCAACATTGGTAATGGCAGTTATATAGTATTTCCCTACCTGTTCTGGCCCTACCCTTTTTAGCTTGACTCTCACAGTACTTTACATCTATCTATCCCTGTTTCTTAGCAGCCTGAAGCATCAGCTTTAATGACTCTCAGGAAAGAATGTGATGCATACAAACTTACAAGTGGAAAATACAGCAAAAGAGAAGTACACGCTCAAAACCCAGAACGTCCTCAATATATAATGAAACTAGCTTCCCTTTCTCTGGAGAACCTGTTCCGCTTCCACTGACTCATAGAGAAATCACCCATCCAAGAATGTTAAACACTGAGTTCCACTGACCCTGCAATGCTCTTTCTAGGCCCAGCAAACTCTGCTTGCTATTACTGATGATATTCCTAGTAGGAGATGACTTCCGAAATAAGATGCTACTGTCATTCAAAAAATAATGAGCAGGTCTCACTAAAACAGAAATTTATTGTTTGTTTAGCTTTTTGTTGTATGCATCTAGTGACCTTGTCCCTCCCTTCTCCTCACCTTTTCCTGTAATGTAAATCCCAGTCAACTCAAATGTGTGACTATATTCTGAGTTTCTAAAGCATATTATGGGCCAGGCGTGGTGGCTCACACCTGTAATCTCAGCACTTTGGGAGGCTGAGGTGGGTGGATCATGAGGTCAGGAGTTCAAGACCAGCCTGACCAACATGGCAAAACCTTACCTCTACTAAAAATATAAAAACTAGTTGAGTGTAGTGGCACATGCCTGTAGTACCAGCTATTCGGGAGGCTGAGGCATGAGAGTCACTTGAACCTGGGAGGCAGAGGTTGCAGTGAGCCAAGATTGTACCACTGCACTCCAGCCTGGGTGACACAGTGAGACTCTATCTCAAAAAAAAAAAAAAAACAAATAAAAAAGTATATTATGTAAAACGACAGAATTTAATTTCAAAATATAAAACTTTTCCTTTTAAAGTTCTTCTCTGTAATTAGAGTACCAGGGTCCACTGATAAATTTTTGCAACCAGGCCTTCTCCCCCTGTAAGGAACCTCCAAAAGGTTGATTATAAACCCAGTCTCATTGATAAATGAAATTAATATGTAGCTTATAGTCATTTGAAATGCTGGCCTAAGATACTCAGGGGTCACAGAGAGAAAAGTCTACTTCCTGTCTGCCAGAACTTCAAAAGTTGATTGGCATGAAAATGAAGGGAAATTAACAGAGTACCTAAGCAGCCACAAACACTTGGCTAGATGTACTTCATGACAACCCTCTGAGTTGTGTCCTACAGACATACAAGTGAGGATCAAAGAAAGTTAATTGATTTGTAAAACGTATCTAAGCTATTAAGTGACAGAGCTGGGATTCAAATCCAGGTCTGTTCTATTTGAATCTAAAAGCCAGGCTCTGTTCACTTTCCCACATACTTCCCCCGTCTGAAACATTGCTAGCTTCATACATCCTCCATTCACCACCCATACACCTTAGCAGCCCCATGACAGGAGACAGAAGATGAAGGCTTTAAAATCTGAAATGCTGGTACTTGTTTGTATATGTAGCTGTAATACACATGCCCTAACACATCCTAACCCATCCCTTCCTTGCTCCTTATGTCTCCTGAGTGCCCACTGTCATTATACAATAATCAGGCAGAGCTAGACTCTGTGCCCAAGCATCTTGCAACCACAGGGCTGACTATGTCCATACCTCACAACCACTGTGGAACCTAGGGGAGACTCAGGTCTCTGTTGCAGGAAGTCTGATTGCATATTGGATTAACCTAACCAGTCACAGGATGTAGTAGCTTCAGGTTGTGGAGGGATATTCTTCTAGGCTGGTGTGATGGCTCATGGCTGTAATCCCAGTACTTTGGGAGGCTAAGGCGGGAGGATCACTTCAGACCAGGAGTTTAAGACCAACCTGGACAACATAGTGAGACCCTGTCTCTATAAAAAAAATTTTTAAATTAGCTAGGCATGGTGGTGTGTGCCTGTAATTCTAGCTACTTGGGAGGCTGAGGCAGGAGGATCCCTTGAGCCCAGGAGTTCGAGGCTACAGTGAACTATGATCGCACCACCATACCCCAGTCTGAACAATTCAGCAAGACTCTGTCTCTAAAACACAACAATAATACATACATATATATGTATTTTATTTAAAAATTTAAATATATATAGTCTTCTAAATCTTGTAAAAAGTTACCATAATGCAACCTGACTATAAAACTGAATATTTATAAGTACTATTGAATTGCGTACACCTGGCCATAAAGATGGAAACAACAAACACTGAGGACTATAAGACAGAGAGGGAGGGAGGAAGGTAAGGGATGAAAAACTACCTATTGGGTACTATGCTCACTACCTGGGTGATGGGTCCAATCATGCCCTAAACCTTAGCATCATGCAATGCAATATACCTAGGTAACAAACCTGTACATGTGTCCTGAATTTGAAATAAAAGTTGGGAAAAAAAGTACTGTTGGCTACCATGCCTGTTTATTTTCGGTGTGCTATTTGATAATTTCCCACCTTTTACAATATAAAAATTGCTTTTTAACATCAAAACACTCATGAACTCACACAGAATATTTATTGTTAGCCTTATTAATTGAGAAAAGACATATGCATAAACAGATCTGTGACTTTTTACAAAATATCCATGGGTCCCAGCTTTGGAATCATGTCTCTATTTCATTTACCTATTTGTCCCCATGCTCCTCAGCAAGGGACAACCCTTTTTCTGGTTTCTTTTGCAATTATCAAATTTTGGTGCTTGTTTCCAATATAACAGTAATTCAGAAGAGGGTCATGCTATACCTCTTGGCTGTTTACCTTCGTTCTGCTGTATGTCTGATGGTGTAGGTGAAGTGACACTAGGCTCCTTCACTTCTGTAATGCCTGCTCTCAAGCTTTTTCCATCCAGACAAGCTGGAGCTACTTCTGCAGGTTTGGAAAATAAATCCATAGAGGAACTGGCTGATTCTATTAAGAATATGAAAAGCATTCAAAGACTGATTCTAAACTTCTAAATAAGGTAATGAGAAGATTAACAGAACATTTCTGTGAATATAAACATCCAAAAATACAGTGGGTTTTAGGAGGAGAGCTAAGAGATGTGAGTAGGGATAACAATGCTATATTAAATAACTTTTCAAATCATTTTTGTTTTAAAAGTAGGAAAAAACTACCTTGACTCTTAAAATTATGCGGGGGAACAGCATTAGTAACTGAAGCTGCCATATAATGTAACTCTGCAGACGATGGAACTGCTGGATGATCGCTTTGCTGTTTGATAACATTATCATTTGAAGGCTCTTCTCTCACAGGTAATTCCTGTAGATCATCAGCTTCAATGTCAATCACATTTATATAAGTATGTCCAACCTGAGCCAAAACACATAAAATCAAAGAGGGTTACATTCTTTTTACTCTATATGGTCACTCTGTCCCCCCAAAAAAAGGCTTAATTCTTAATTCTTATTAATAACAAGGAAAGAAGGGCCTGAATGTGCCCAACTTAGGAAAAGGAGCAGGAAGTATGTATTATTGATCTTAGTTTACAATATTTTTGGCATAATGCTTAAATTAATTTTTGAACCTTTACTACAAAACTACCTAGATGAGATTTTTAGCCTCATTTCATCTACACAATTGAATAATGTCTACATGACCATAATACATTTTAGCGCAAAGGTATTATTAAAATTTCTGAATAAAACACAAACCAAGTTTGCTACTGTATGAGGTGCTGAGGGTGACAAAGGTTTCTCTGACATTTCAGTGGAAAGCTTCAGATTTAGATATACATCTGGGACCAAGAGCTGAGGAGCATTCAAAGGCTCATGTTCTGCAAATTAAAAAAGAAATAATCAGGAACTTTAAGAAAAACGCTGTAAACTGCTCCAAATCATCAACTTTGTATGAACAAGTTAGCAACAAACAACATAAATTATACTTCTTGAAATCTAAGTAGAAGTGACATGCATATAAATAATTAAAGCAAATTCTATTCTAAGGGTAATTTAGAGTAATTCATAATTGAATGCAAGCTGACTATTGTTTTTCTCATATGAATGATTCACAAGAACAGTAAAGTAACTAAATTACATCAAGAAAATGCTAAAATTTCCTATTTCTATATCAGATATATTAAGTCATGTTTGGTTACTTTAGGGAAGTTTCAAAAAACCCAGATTTTAGGAGATTAACCTATAACTAATTTTTTTTTACCTTGAATAGTTTCTTGTTATTTGCTTATTTTTATTGACAGCTTTATTGAAACATAATTCACATTCTCTTTTTTTTTTTGAGACAGTCTCGCTATGTCGCCCAGGCTGGAGTGCAGTGACGTGATCTCGGCTCACTGCAACCTCCGCCTCCCGGGGTCATTCTCCTGCCTCCGCCTCCCAAGTAGCTGGGACTACAGGCACCTGCCACCATGCCTGGCTAATTTTTTTGTATTTTTAGTAGAGATAGGATTTCACTGTGTTAGCCAGGATGGTCTCGATCTCCTGACCTCGTGATCCGCCCGCCTCAGCCTCCCAAAGTGCTGGAATTACAGGTGTGAGCCACCGTGCCCAGCTAATTCACATTCTTTAAAAGGGTATCATTCAGTGGTATATAGTATATTCACAGAGCTTATAATTAAATTTTACCACTTAAAGTGTTTTAACATCTAAATTTCACAAATGTTAACTGCTTCTTATTTAACAGTAAAATAAACAGGCCTGTCACAGGAGATCATCAGACAGTTTAACTCTGTGCCTTTTGTTCTAGGCCTCTAGCCTTATTTTCTAGCATTGTTTTTTCAATAAAGCACTATTTTCAAATGTAACTCGTACTGAGTACTTATTACCAAAGCTTGAATTTAAACCACTTAAAACTACAAAAAAAAGAAAAATAAAAATACTGAAATCATTCTCTCTTGATTGATTGGTTTAACTGCTTTTTTATGGGGGACAGTGACTAGCTTTGGCATCATGCAGATATATCTTTTTTTTTTTTTTTTTTTTTTTTTGAGATGGAGTTTCGCTCTGTCACCCAGGCTGGAGTGCAGTGCCCGGATCTCAGCTCTCTAAAAGCTCCACCTCCCGGGTTTACGCCATTCTCCTGCCTCAGCCTCCCGAGTAGTTGGGACTACAGGTGCCTGCCACCATGCCCGGCTAGATTTTTCGTATTTTTTTAGTAGAGACGGGGTTTCACCGTGTTAGCCAGGATAGTCTCGATCTCCTGACCTCGTGATCTGCCCATCTCGGCCTCCCAAAGTGCTGGGATTACAGGCTTGAGCCACTGCGCCCAGTCAGATATATCTTTAATAAGTCATACTGCTCTTAGAAAAAAAAAGAAATCACACATGATGTGCAAGAAATGATTTGCTGCTTGGTACCACATTCAGAAACAACTTCTTGAGAAGTAGCTTACTTCTCTTGTAGTGCATTAAAAAATTTAAGACAAAGAGAGAAAACAAAAAAATTTCACAAACACAAGAAAAAATTAAAATATATGAATACAGATAATTAGATCTAATGCATAGAAGGTGATAGGTAGAAACATAGAGTGACAGCTTAACAATGTAATTTTAAATAATTAATGTAATTTCAAAGTTTATTATTATTTATATCATGGGCCTCCACCTAGATGAACAGCAGACTCAGGAAATAGCTGCCAACTTCGATAAACTACTTAACAAAAGCAATGTACCTCCAGGGCTTTCTCAAAGATATGCTCAGATAATGAACATTTAAGAATGCTTTGTGGTGGTTCAAACCTGTAATCCTAGCACTTTGGGAGGCCAAGGAGGGCAAATCACTTGAGGTCAGGAGTTTGAGACCAGCTTGGCCAACATGGTGAAACCCTGTCTGTACTAAAAATACAAAAATTAACCAGGCACAGTGGAAGTCACCTGTCAGGAGACCTTGGCTATTTGGGAGACTGAGGTAGGAGAACTGCTTGAACCTGGGAGGCGGAGGCAATCTTGAGACAAGATTGCACTACTGTACTCCAGCCTCCAGCCTGGGCAACAGAGCAAGACTCTGTCTCAAAAAAAAAAAAGAAAAAAAAAGTTTCTCAAATGCAGACTCATCATTTATATCAAAAACATTTACACATGCTCAACTTCATTCAGAAAGAAATACAAATTTAAATAATGACTTTTGTTTTTCTTTTTTTTTTTTTTTGAGACAGAGTCTCACTCTGTCACCCAGGCAGTGGCGCGATCTCGGCTCACTGCAAGCTCCACCTCCCGGGTTCATGCCATTCTCCCACCTCAGCCTCTCGAGTAGCTGGGACCACAGGTGCATGCCACCACGCCCAGCTAGTTTTGTTTTTGTATTTTTAGTAGAGATGGGGTGTCACCGTGTTAGCCAGGATGGTCGATCTCCTGACCTCGTGATCCGCCTGCCTCAGCCTCCCAAAGTGCTGGGATTACAGGCGTGGGCCACTGTGCTCGGCCTATAATGACTTTTTTTGACCTATCAGATTGGCAAAGTTAAAAAGGTTAGCTAAGTCATAGTAATAACCAAAAAAGTCTCTTATGCAGGAAGATATTCATTGAAGCCTAATTTGTAGGAGAAAAAAAACTGGAAACTAATGTATAGCTGGAAGAAGGAATATGCTTATGAAGTACTTCTCTGATGACACAGGGACATGTTTGCCATACATATAAATCAAAGTGAAATGAACAGGATACAAAATACAGGTATCCCTTGTAACGCAAATCTAATCCACTCCTGCAAATGTGCTAGATAGTGAATTTTCCAATTCCAGGAGACTTTATGACAGTATTTCAAATGGAAATAAAAAGCTGTCCTAGTCCATCTAATTTTCCCAAACATCATTAAACAACTCTTAAATACTTAAATAACAACTCATCAAGGATTACTACATATAAAGCATTTTAAACATCACTTTTTTATTAATATTCATTTAATTCATTAGTTAGCATTCAATATGCAATAATACTGAATGCATTAGAGATGAATTGCCTTCAACACTGCAGCAAACATACTATGATGCAAATAACAAAATAAATAATATATTAAAGATACACTCTAATTTAAGAGCATCCCAAGGTACTTGGAAAAAAACAACATTGGGACCCAGGAGGATTAAACTAAACTCTCATGGAAAAGCTAGAGAAGACAGCCATAATATCTGGACAATGAGAGTTTAGATACTAAGGGAGGACACCTATGCTATATACTGTATCTAACTATGTAAAATGCACAAAAGACTGAAAGAAAAAACAATATCAAACCATTATTGCTAAGTGGTGAGATTATGGTTAATTTTCATCTTCTTCATAGATTGCTAAATTACCTAAATATTCTAAAATGATTACATTTTTAAGACATAAAGTTAGAGAGGCTAAAAAGCACGTACAAGGTTCTGTACATGGGTAAAAGAAACTGTTTACTAAAAGTCATAAAAAAGAATTACTATGATACAATGGGTAGAGCACTATTCAATATGCTATTCATAATGATAAACAATATTAAAGTGGAAATTTGTCAGGAAACATTCCAAATAATAGGTCCTCCAACACTTATTTCCTCTACTCCTGGACACAGTTACACACCCCTCCCTCACCGAACCCAATCCAGTCCTTCCTAGCTCACCTTCACTAGCCACAGTCCCAGGCCTCCCAACCTTGGACATGCAATTCCAGTGAAGGTAATTAATAACATAGAGAATCCAAATTCAAAGCATTATTTTTACTGACTTAGGATGTAATCTATGGTAATTTTGAAGAAAAGTCTCTATTATGTTTTACTAAGTTATAAATTTGATTTCTAAAGTATATACCAAGATTGGAGAGAAAAACCTAGGGGGAGTAAATCATATCACATAATTTAAAATTCCCTTTAAATCACTGCCTTAAAGGAAAAGTCTAGATAACTCAATTATATCAAAATATACGAATTTTTTAAAAGAAAAACAGCATTTACCTGGGACTGTATTTGTACTTGCATCTTGACTTCCTATAGCTTTCTTTTTCACAGAGGCCATGAAATGCAATCCAGCTGAAGTATTATCATCTTGTAGCATTTCTTAAATATAATAAAACATTGGAAGTAATCATTGAGAAGCTAACATATTACCAGGAGCCCAGCAGCACAGTACCTAACTCAATGGAAGTAAAATATGGGGTGTCAGGATGTTATTAAAATTTTTTTTTGAGACGGAGTCTGGCTCTGTTGCCCAGGCTGGAGTGCAGTGGCGTGATCTCAGCTCACAGCAACCTCTGCCTCCCGGGTTCAAGTGATTCTCCTGCCTCAGCCTCCCAAGTAGCTGGGATTACAGGTGCCCACCACCATGCCTAATTTTTGTATTTTTAGTAGAGACGGGGTTTAAGCCATTTTGGCCAGGCTGGTCTCAAACTCCTGACCTCAAGTGATCCACCCGCCTCGGCCTCCCACAAGTGCTGGATTACAGGCCTGGGCCACCGTGCCCAGCCTAAAATGGGCTTTCTGAATGAAGTGCTATGTAAGTTGAATTTCAAAGACATGGTAGAACCAAAATCAAAACTGTTGAGGACTCTGCATGTCCAGCTTAGAAACCTAGATATTCTTCTGGGAATGAAGATCCAGTAGAAGCTGTTAAGCAGAGAAATGATATGGTCAGATTCATATTCTAGGAAAACAATCTAGCCAGTGTGTGGAAAATAGGTTTGAGTGGATATACCTAGTAATGGTGAGGGATGGGAAAACAGGATAAATTTAAGAATTACAAAGGAAGCAAAATAGGTAAGAATCGGTTATTGACTGGATAAAAGGGAAGACAGAATTCATAATCACATGTTTCTGGCTTAGGCTGATATCAACACAAATGGAGAAAGAGAATGTAGGAGGAAAAAACAGTCAGGGCAGAGTAGAAATAATGAATTCAGAATTCACATAGTGTATCTGAGGTAATTTCTACGTAAGTAGAAAAACTCAAGAGGAAAGAGAACCAAAATCCAAAGTCTACTGTGAGAGTTTGTGTTTACATGTGGATTTCTCTGGGAGATCACCCAGGAAGACTAGGTAGAATAAGACAGTATCAATTATGGAGCATTGTGGTATAATGAAAAATATATATTTGGTCTACAAAGACCCAGTTTCTTGCACACAGGTCCTCAGAATCTTGGGATTTCCTGATAGGAGTGCCTGTTATTTCTAACGAGCCCCTTTTGATCACACCTAAGTATATGCTAGAGGTGTCTCTTCACAAGCCCCTAGATGGCTTTAGCATAGGGCCAATCACCAGAGGAACCAACCACATGATGAGAGGGTTAGAATGATCAGCCCCCAATTCAGCCATCCTACTGCCACATCTGGGAAAGAGAAGGGGCTGGAGATTGAGCTCAATCACAATGGCCAGTGATTTAATCAATTATACCTAAGTACTGAAAAGTCAATAAAAATCCTGAAGCAAACAGGTTAAGAGCGATTCCAGGTTGGTGAATACATGGATGTGCTAGGAGACTGGCCATCCCAGAGAGGGCATGGAAGCCCTGTGCTGCCCAACCCCACCACTGCCTTGCCCTGTGCATCTCTTCTATTTGGCTGTTCCTGAGTTGTATCCTTTATAATAAAATTGTAATCATAAGTAAAGGGCTTTCCCAATTTCTGTGGGTTTTCTAGTCAATTACCAAACCTGAGTTGAGGGGGGTAGAGTATAGGAACCCTTGAATTTGTAGTCAGCTGGGCAGAAATGTAGGTAGCCTCATTTTCATATTGTACATATTTCTAAAAAGCTAATTTTAACTCTAAACTTAGACATTACATTAATCATACACATACATACCAAAAGGAATGTCGAAGTCATCCAAAGAATGGGAACCACAATGTTCTTCTTGTTCCTAAATGAATTCCCACAGGATTAATCTATGATTAACTCAAAGACATGTATTATTTTGTAAAAAAAATGCTCAATAGCTATGAAGATTGAATTCTTATGTATAGGTTCAATTTCCATCATTCTAGGCATAATTATTCCATCAAATTATTTACTCTATCGAAGTAACTCTACAAATGAGTTAAGAAAATTTATAAGCCAAACAATAAAAAAGCATTACCAATTTAATGTAAGGTTCCTAGGTTACCATGTGCAACTCTCTCCTACAGAGTAGCTTTGATAATACTCAAATAGTACACCATCCTGTCAAAAATCTTTCATGGACTCAACAAACAGTTGTACTAAGTGCCTCTAGACATGCTCTTGAGGACTGACTGAAAAAGCATGCCTTTTAAAAATCAATGTAAACAAAACTATTAATACATTTCTCTTTATTTAATCTGTTGTTGCAAAAATAGTTAGACAATCACCAAATACAGAGGTATATTTAAAAAGACCTGACTTAACACTGGGCATGATGGCTAACACCTATAATCCGAGTGTTTTAGGAGGCTGAGGTAGAAGGATCACTTGAGGTCAGGAGTCGGAGACCAGCCTGGGCAACACAGCAAGGTCCCACCTTTCAAAAAAATATTTTTTAATTAGCTGGGCATGGTGGCACACATCTATAGTCCCAGCTACTTGGGAGGCTGAAGCAGAAGGACTGCCCAAGCCCAGGAGGTAGGGGCTGCAGTGAGCTATATTTGTGCCACTGCACTACAGCCTGGGCAACAGAGCAAGACCCTATCTCTAAAAAATAATAATAAATTAAATTTTTAAAAAAGATTTGACTTAAAATAGAGTTTACACAACAAACCTGTTTGGGAAGTCCTAGAGGAATCTCAGAGAAGGGTGAAACTGTATTAGGAGAAGCCCAAATAACATAACATATATGTTAAGATATCATAGAAATAAGCAAAGGGTGATTTCAAATATAAAAAAAGCCACACAGGCAGATGCTCTAAACTGTAGTTTTTGATGTACCATCAAGTTGCTTTTCACATTCAGAACTCTATGTCTACTGCTCTGTGGAGGGAGGCAGCAGGGACTGATATACTGAATGATATAAAGATCCTCCTAATCACAATCAGAAGCTCCCAGCAATCAGACTAGATAAACCACAAAGACATACCAAACTCAGTGTACAAGCACACCAGGGAAGAATCAATAGCAGTTTTTCTATACCTTGGGTTTCTTAATGATTTCTGAATTATCGTTATTAATTATGGAATTCTCTGGTCGAAAAGTCACATTTGGTTTTCTCAATTTCTCAGATTTTTTTTCTTGCAGCTCTTTCTCAGCTCTTCTCCTTTGCCTGTTAAACATAATAGCGTAAAACATACTTTTACAATTATAGCAACATTTGCTTTTCATTTATCATGCTAGATAGGGATACAGTTAACAAAATTATGTTCATAAATTCTTTTCAATAGCATTTAATTAAATTAACAAGACATTCTGCAAATACAAGCAAATATAAGCCAAACACCAAATATGAAATTTATTTCTAGAACCTCTAATACTGAACTGACTATTCTATGTTAGTCACTGGAATCTAAGGACAGGGCTACACATCTTAGATAATTATTAAACTCTCTTTTCTGTGAATTTGCAGTCGGTGCCAGAAACCCTATCAGATACCTCCATTAGTCTATTTGAAGACATTAAGCACACTTAGTCACCTCAGCAAAATCACAGCAAGGAGGAAAGAGGTCTCAAAACGCTAAGGGGAAGACTAAATTGGAAGAGGGAATAGATGGAAACAAGAAGACCATTTCTGGAAAGACAGCACTAGTAACAGATTTTACAGTCTGATAAATGTGAAAATTTTAAAGTATTTTCCAGACTTAGTAATAATCTGCCAATCAATACACATGGTAAAACACTACAGTAAATGCTCTTCACTAGAAGTTACAGCCTTGCTTTTCACATACACATTTCTTAGTGCCCTGAAACAATTTACATCACCTACCCTCCTGCTCACTGTAAGAGTCTGAAGAATATGGTAAGATGATTGGTTCAAAGTATTGGAGGATACAGTAGTCCCCCCTTATCCATGGTTTCACTTTCCAAGGTTTCAATTTATCAGAGTTCAACCATGGTTTGAAAATAGATGAGTTCAGTGCAATAAGATATTTTGAGAGACAGAGGGAAAGAGATCACATTCACATAACTTGCCTTACAATATAGTTATAATTGTTATATTTTATTACTAGTTATTGTGCATTGCTTACTGTGCCTAATCTATAACTTAAACTTTATCATTGGTATGTATGTACACAAAAAAACAAAATATATAATAGGGTTCAGTACTATCTGCAGTTTCAGGTATCCACTGAAGGTCTTGGCATGTATTCCTGGGAATAAGGGAGGACTACTGCATATGGGATATTGTACCAAGTATTTGAGAAGCAAATGATGACTGTTCCTTCTACTATAGACACTGTAAAAGAATCCTCCAGTCTACGAATGGTAGGAAAGAATTCCTTAATACGATGGGAAAATATTATAGTATTTGTCTCACAAAATAGGAATTTTTCTCACATAAAATATGTTCAGATACATGACACTTGAAAACTGAATGTGCAATTGTGTATAGCCTAGGAGACTGAACCAGATTACCGTGTGATTTTAAATAATAATGAATTTGCTGATATATGATATTATTAAATAAAATTTCACTTAAATCTTGCCTTTTTTTACTGTCCTTTCCTTGTCTTACTTCAGGTGGTTCTATTTTGACCTTTAGAAGTTGAAGGTGTCCAGCATCACCTTGTTCAAATAAATTATGTGTTAGTTTCTGTTGGCTTTGTTTAAACGCAATGAGGTTTTCAAGTGGGATAAGTTGTGTTTTTTTGCACTACAAGAAAGAAACAAAGCATAAGATTGACAAACTGCAAACTCAATTATGTAATATTTTAACAAAAGACTGAGGAAAAATGCATTTCTTTAAACTGTGCAACAGAACAAATTAAATATAACAAATTGATTTAAACTGGCAATATGAGTATACGTATCTTAGAGAAAAAGTGATTTAAAGTGCTGAAAGTTTCAAATGGGTCATCCTATTTCAGAAATTAAGCTAGAAGTTCTCACCTTCCTAATTTCATTCCCATATTAAAAATCTTTCCTCTGGTCAGGCGCGGTGGCTCACGCCTGTAATCCCAGCACTTTGGGAGGTCGAGGTGGGCGGATCACAAGGTCAGGAGTTCGAGAACAGCCTGGCCAACATGGTGGAACCCTGTCTCCACTAAAGATACAAAAAATTAGCCAGCCATGGTGGTGCATGCCTGTAATCCCAGCTACTTGGGAGGCTGAGGCAGGAGAATCACTTGAATCCGGGAGGCAGAGGTTGCAGTGAGCTGAGATTACGCCATTACACTCCAGCCTGGTGACAGGGTGAGGCTCTATCTCATATTAAAAAAAAACAAACAAAAAACCAAAAAAAAAAACCTTTCGTCTTATAAATGAAATTACATAATGTCCAGCATTTAACTTAAAATTATTTGCAACAGGGAAGATGCAGAGGCACAAAGACCACAGATGGAAAAGACCAGCAATATGCTGAAAATCCCTGAAGGCTTGGGAATTGAATGGTAAAAACTTGGGGTTCTTCGTCGGTTCATGTTATCTTCAGAAGAAAAGGAAGCATGGTTAAGTATTTTTTCTAAGGAATAACCGTTTGTTTTCCCAGTACCATCTTCAAATCATAAAAGTACACCTGAGAATGTATTACTCAATTATCTCCCTAAGATAGTACTGCTCTCCTCAAAACTAGAGCCTAAACCATTTTAATTTCATAAATCAAAAGTTATACTTTTAAAGAGGACTTGGTGGGTCTATAAAACTACCATTTTAATATATGTGCTACTAATCACAGATCTGGGTCTATTTAACAAATTTAACCTGTCAAAGATTTGAAGATCATACAATAACTGCTAGGAACCTCAAACAATATGTGTGTTCACTTGCTCTCCTCTCTATACGCACATAAACAAAAGCATCTGGTAATTTTTTTGCCTTTTTTTTTCCACGTGTTTAAATCTTACACAAAGTACCTGGTAATTTTACTGCTTCTTTCTTTCTAGAGCAGCAGAAATATATACGAAAGAGTCTAGCAAACTCCAGTATTGATAGAAAGACCTAAAACCTTTAAAATACACAATTTTTTAAAAATAGAGACAGCTTCTCCCTACGCTACCCAGGCTGGTCTCAAACTCCTGGGATCAAGAGATCCTCCCATCTTGGCCTCCCAAAGTATTGGGATTATAGGCATGAGCCACCATGCCCAGCTACAATCATTATTTTAAACCTAATTTTTACATGCTATTTTCTATAACAAGCATTTTTTTTATGTAAAAGAGCTTTTCACTGACCATACGGTACTTATGGTATGAAAAAAATGCAGGACACTGCTTTTGCATTACTATACAAAAATTCATTACCATATTTTCTGGGGACAAATGTGGATGAAGTAATGACAATCTTGGGTATTTTCTTTCTTCTGCTATAGGTTGGATAGGTGTTGAGGGAACTGTAATAGATGCTCTTGAGGTTGATGGAAACATATTAGGAGGTTTAAATGGCAAGTATAGTAACGGAAGTCCAAAGGAATGGTGAGGAGATATCTCAAGGGGCCCTGGCTTAACATCAAATAGTTTCTCTGGTTTTATAAACACTGAAGAGTCCTGTGGAGGTGTCAGATTTTCTTGTCCAACATATTGATCCAAGTTTACATGCTTAGGAATTTCTGTAATTACAGTTTCTGCCCATGTCTTCTGCTTAACTTCTTTTTTTTTGGCTTCAGTATTATACTGGCTTACATTCAAATGGGATGCTGGAGGAGTTTGTGCTACTCTCTGTGGCAGAGCAGGTTGGAAGGAGTCAGATAATCCCCAAGCCTCTCTTGGTTGTGGCAGAGGCCTGAAGGGAACTTGTGGAATACTTCCTGCATGTAAGAAAAGGGGCTTGAATTCTTGTTTAGGCTTAAACTGAAGCAAAGGAAAGCCATCACCAAGACTAAATGTTTTTGCATGTGGGATCAGTCTAGGTGCCTTCTGAACAACAGAAGGTGTGGACAAAAGGCAGAGGTGAGTATTTCCAGCAGGAGCTGGATAAAACGAAGTGGATGGTAAGTTTTGAGATGATGGAATTGGTCCTCTTTTCTGGGGCTGGCCATTTAATTGACATAAAGGAATGCTCCCATGTAGAACATTCTGGAAGAGAAAAAAGATATTATGTAAGTTTAGAATATATTAGAAATTCCTTACTTCGTAAATGGCATTCAGTATGTTTTGCAGCGGGTAGAATGTAGTAACTGCTTAAAAAAAAAAAAAGTATTTACTCAACAAAAACAAAAAACACGATGACTATTGAACTACTCAGGACATTATTATTATTATTATTATTATTTTCTGAGACAGAGTCTCACTCTGTCACCCAGGCTGGAGTGTAGTGACATGACTTCGGCTCACTGCAACCTCCACCTCATGAGTTCAAGCAATTCTCCTGCCTCAGCCTCCTGAATAACTGGGATTACAGGCATGCACCACCACACCCGGCTAACTTTTGTATTTTTAGTAGAGCTAGGGTTTCACCATGTTGGCCAGGCTGCTCTCGAACTCCCAACCTCAGGTGCGGCCTGCCATAGTGCTGGGACATGAGCCACCACGTCCAGCCATTAAAGGTATTTTTACATACATTACCTGTACATTTCCAGTACTATTTTGACCAGATGGGATAGTTCTTTCATGGCAGTGTGGGCTGTTCTTGCGAGGCTCTCTGGTGTTCTCTCCCATTGACTGTGGCTTAACAAAAAATCTCTCCTTAAGATTTTTGTTGCTGTCTTCAACATCACCACATCCTCTTAGATTTGATTCTTGGCTTCCCCCTAAATGCACAGACTGAGACTGCTGTACAAGTTGTTGTATATCTGGGAGATTAGCAAAGGATGACCCTACTATTTGCATTAGGCTCATGAAGTTGATCTGTTGCAGCTTGAATAAAACAAAAATTGAAGCAATATCTTAAAATATAACAAAAAACTAAGGAATCAACATAATCATATGAGTACTCTATAATAGTCACACCTTTGTCTTAGTATCTATGAGAATCATGAATGCTGAGCAGGAGGCATAGTCAGGGAATTTTTTTTTTTTTTTAAAGGGAGAGGAAAAAAATGATAACTTCCTGTCAACCAGGCATATGAATACTCACTTGCGAATGAAACTTGGAACTATTTGTAAACAGTTTACAGTATTCGGTTTCCATAAACATCCCAGGGATCAAAGGAGTGGGATAAAGACAGATTCCCAGAATAGGCCAGGCGCAGTGGCTCACGCCTGTAATCTCAGCACTTTGGGAGGCTGCAGAGGGTGGATCACAAGGTCAAGAGATTGAGACCATCCTGGCCAACATGATGAAACCCCATCTCTACTAAAAATACAAAAATTAGCTGGGTGTGGTGGCACGCATCTATAGTCCCAGCTACTCGGGAAGCTGAGGCAGGAGAATCGCTTGAACTAGGGAGGTAAGGTTGCAGTGAGCCGAGATCGTGCCACTGCACTCCAGCCTGGTGACAGAGTGAGATTCTGTCTCTAAAAAAAAAAAAAAAAAAAAAAAGACAGATTCCCAGAATAAGTATATTTTGAACAGTTTTCAGGAATGAGCAGAAAGCAGTACACAGGTGAAGAGCAAGGAATTCCCTTGGAAAGGCTGATTAGGTGAAAGAAAAGTCAGACACCAGTTGTCCCCCAAACTATGCTGCACATTACAATCACCTGAGAAATATCTATAAGTCCCGATGACCAGGTCACCCCCTATCAATAACATCGCAATGTCTGGGGATGGGAACCAGCATCTGTATTCATTAAGACGACCAGGTTATTTCAATGTCCAGAAAATCTTGGGAAGCACTAGCACAGACATTGGCTTAGCAGGAACAGGAGATTTACAGCAGGGATAATGAAAAGATAGGCTAGTGCGGAAGTTCTCAAACTTTGGCATGCACCAGAATTACCTGGAGGACTTGAACCACTCTGCTGATCCCTATCCCAAGTTTCTGATTCAACGGGTCTAGGATCGGGGCCTGAGAATTTGTATTTCCAAGGTCTAAGTGATGCTGATACTACTCGTCCAGGCATCATACTTTGAGAACCACTAGACTTGTGAAAGTAAGGCAGGAAAGGAGTGAAGGTAAAGACTTCAAAGTGAAGTTTTTGAAGGCCAACAGAAAAATTTGCATTTGATAGAACAAACCAATAGGGAAACAGTGCAGGTTTTTAAAAATGCAGTTTTCTTTTAATTATTTTAAAGCAAATACAGGAAAAACCAGAAATTTTAAAAATAAAATAAATATTATTCATAATCCTACCCTCAAAAATAATAAGCATTGACATTTTAGTATATTTCCTTTCTCTTGCTTACTATCTATCTATCTATCTATCTATCTATCTATCTATCTATGTATCTATCTATCTATTCATTCTATCTGTTCTATCTAAAAGACAAGGTCTCACCATGGTACCCAGGCTGGAGTGCAGTGGACTGATCACAGCCCACTGTAACCTCAAATTCCTGGGCTCAAAGCATCCTCCCACCTCAGCCTGCCGAGTAGCTGAGACTATAGGCATGTGCTACCAT